CTACCTAAAGACGTCACTCGCACCTCCCCCTTGCTGTTCTACTTTTTTTTTTTAACTGCTCAGTGGATCACGCCCATCGATTTACAAAAACATGGTGTTATTTTTCTGAACTTAAAAGTTTTTTCTTGATCTTATTTCTCTTACCATCTATGGCCCCATTTCTTTCCTCTCTTTTGCAACAAAACCCCGTTAAAGTGTTTATACTGCTGACAAATTCACCAACGATCTCCAGGCTGCTGAATCTCTAGGTCAGTTCTTAGTCTTTCTCTACTTATCAGAAGCATCTGACACAGTCCATCACTCCCTTCTCCACACATGTACACTTTCCTCACTGGCTTCCAGGAGAACATGTCCCCACCCCAGTGACTGCTTCTTTTCACCCTCCTTGCTGGCATGGCCAAGGCTCTGTTTTTGGCCCTCTCCCTGTCCTCTTGACTCGCACTTCCTTGGGGAGCTCATCTGGTCTCCTGGCTTTAAATAACATCAGTATGCAAATAACTCCAAGTGACAGCTCCATCCCAGATTTCTCTCCAAACTCCACACTCCTATGTCTAGTCATCTCAACCTCAATGTGCTGAAGACTGGGCCCTGGTCTTCCTGCCTGACCTCTTCTACATCTCAGCTTCCCGCAACTCCCCCCTTACAGCTGCTCAGGCCAAACACTTTGGAGCCATCTTTGTCTGCACTTTCATACTCTGTACCTGATTGTCAGGAAATCTTATTGGCTCTAGCTTCAGGATACATTTAGAGTCTGACCACTTCTCACCAACTCCACTGCTAACTAACTAGAGCAGGTGAGTCAGTCACCGCCATCATTTCTTTCGTGGGCTAGTCTTCTGGTTTCCCTGCTTCTACCCTGCATTCTCTCAGAATGATCCCTTTGAAACATAAATCAGGTAATGTCCTTCCTTTGTTCAAAACTCTCCAGTGGCTCTCTACTTCACCCACAGTAAAAGCCCAACTCCCACTAACGGCATTCCAACCCTATATGATTTCTCCGGAGGCCTAGCCTTCCTCTGTCCTCCGCCCCTCTCCTCATGCACTCCATTCCAACCAGGCTTCCCGCTTCTCCTTGAGCACGAGCAGCATGCTCCCACCTGAGGGCCTTTACACTGGCATCCCTTCTGTCTGGGTGCTCTTTCCACAAATATTTGTGCAGCCAACATCTTTACTTTCTTCAAGTCTTGGCTCAAATGTCACTGTCTCTCATCTTACTCTGATCGTCCTGTTTAAAACAGTAACCTGCATTCTCACCACCAATGTCAGTCCCTCTTATTCTGCTTTACTGTATCTTTTTTTCCATATTATTCATTACCTTATAATTTTTCTTTTTTTTTTGCTAAGATGCGCCCCGAGCTAACATCTGTTGCCAATCTTCCTCTATTTTGTATGTGGGCCACTGCCATAGCATGGCCACTGATAGACGAATGGTGTAGGTCCATGGCTGGGAACTGAACCTGGGCCGCTAAAGCAGAGCACGTTGATCTTAACCACTAGGCCACCGGGGCTGGCCCTTCATTACCTTATAACATATGAGAAAATTTGCTTATTATGTTTATTGTTTGTCTCTCCCTGCTGTACTGCAAACTCTACAAGGTAAAGATCTTTGTTGACTGATGGATTCCAAGTGCCTAGAATAGTGTCTGGTGTTGAGTAAGCACTTCATGACTATTTGTTGAATAAATTAACATCCTCAGAGAGATAAGATATTGCAACCAAGAAATAAGAGGATATACATAAAAGATACCCTAAAAATAAGAAAAACTCTTGGAAATAAAGAAATGAAATACTCAATAGAAGGACTGGAAAATAAAGTTGAAATCTCTTGGAAAGTAAAGCAAAAGGACAAAGGAGTGTGAAATAAAAGAAAAAATTAGAGACCATATTAGGAGGTTTAACTCCCAAATAATAGGTGTTCAAGAAAAAGAAAAGGACATGAGAGGGGAAAAAACATTAATAATTCAAGAAAATTTCCTAGAATTGAAAGTCATGAGTTTCCAGATTGGAAGCGCCCACCAGGAACCCAAGCCTAGGCCAATTATCATGACAAAAAGAAAAAAAATTCTACAACTTGCAGAGCAAACACACACAAAACAGATCATGCACAAAGAAGCGGGAATCACAGCAGCTATGATGTTCTCAGATGCAACACTGGAAGCTAGAAGACAGAACAGCGATGCCCTGAAATTTCAGTAGAAAAGTGATTTCCAGTCCAGAGTTCTGTAAACAATCTATGAGTTAAGTGTCAAGGCAGAACAAAAACATTTTTAAGGCACACAAGGTCTCAGAACATTTAGCTCAGCTGCAGAGAGGGAGCATGGCCCTCCTTCCTGCTACTGTAGAGCCGCGGGGGGCGCCTTGGGGGGCCCAGCAGAGCTGGACTGTCCTTGTTCACCGTCCCCTTTTTAGTTCCCAGCAGCTGAGCATAGAGTATATAACTTCCCTATGGCCTCCATGAGGAAATGGTTTGAAAGGCCAGGCCCATCAGTTCTTGGAACAGCTGGCAATGTTTAGGATTGTGGGTGGATGTGTGATTATGCGGCTGGGTACATGTTTTATTCTCTTATGGGCAATACTTTAAAGAGTGGGGTAAGCTCCCTATTGACATGTGACCAGCTCTGCATCTGGTGGCTGATCCTGTGAAAGCCACAAGAGTCTACATGGTACAGGACCGGGAAGATCTCCGTGGAGCATTAAACTAAGAACAGGCCAGAGGAGCGGAGAACCCAACCTCTCTGAACTTTTAGATTTCAGAGGCTTGGAATTGAGGCTTGGTTCCTCCTTGCTCCCGTGACATCGTTTCCCCTTAAGGACCTCAGGATGGCAAGAAGCACGCACACCCACGTGCACACGCATGCATGCACGCACACACATACAGCTGGCGGAAAGCTCTGGGGTGCCAGGCAGAGTTGGGCTATCGGATCGTGGTGAGCAGGTGGTTTTGTACAGCTCTGGGTTTTCATGCCACTACTTAGGAGAGTGAGCCTGTTTCCTCACATAAAAACACTACACGAACACCTTCACCTCCTCCAGTACAGAGCACTTACGTGTGCTAGATACTTTCTCCATTTATTTCATTTTAATCCTCCCATCGACCAAATAAGGTTGTTCTGATTTTATCGGAAAAAAATCCGAGGCTTAGGAAATTGCTTGTCCAAGTTCACACAAGAGGTTGAGCTCAGAGGTAAACACAAGCATTCAGATTCCTCATCTCTGCTCTTAACCTCTACTACACATGCTCTGTGATGACAAGGACCAGCCTCATCCTCATGCCAGAGGGCGTTACACTGCAAGGCTGGACTGATCACCTGCGATCACCACCTGGAAGATGCACAAAGCATTCTGCACCCAGGAGGCTTGTTGCCCCCACCCTACACTGCAGAGGAGCTGTCTGAGATCCTGCCAAGGGAGGGCCTCCCCTGCGTCTGAGCTCTAGGCTGCTCCCTCCCAGCAGGTGTTCTTCAAGCTGGACTGTGAGCTGCACGAGGACAGGATCCATGGTGTTAGTTTATCATCTCACTATCAGCACTTAGCACAATGCCTGGTGCACTGTAGGTGAATAAACATTTGCTGAATGAAGGAATCAAGCCTCCTGTCTCCAAGTGGGAGAAGAAATGGGGGCAGTGCTCTTTGTGAAGCAGACTGGCCCTCATGATAGCTCCAGCCATCTGGGATCACCAGTGCTTCTAGGGATCTAACTCCAGGGAGCTGGAGTCTTGGTAAAACAAGGATTGGAAGGAGCCTGCAACCTTGCTCTGATGAGGGGGGCAATGATGCCACACAGCCTTCCAGGGCCACCTGCCAGTTCAATAGCAGGCTGATAGCATCAGGGGGTGACAGTCATGGTGGAATCGACATCTGGCTCTCCTCAAGGCAGTGTGATGTAGAAAAACCAAGACCTGCAGATGGTGTCCTCCACTGCAGTGGGGGTCTTCCTAAATGAGCAGGCTGCCTCCTGACGCCAGATACCCTTGCCATGTCCATCTTCCACAGCAGCCTTGCTCCTTGCTTTGAAGCCCAGCTTGCCAACATCCATTCTTTACCCAGAACCTGACACTTTTACCCTTTTTGGGTCATAGACCACTTGGAAGCTCTGATGAAAACTAGGAACCCTCTCCAGATAAATATTCATAAACATATGCACATCAAACTTTGCACACAATTTAGTGGGCTCATAGACTCCTGAAGACCACCCATGCCCCCATCCCCACTACACACCCAGCCTTGTGCCAGACTTGAGGTCCACGAAAACAAAGGCCCCTCAAAGCCACAGCAAAGAGCCTGGGATGGAGTAAGGGCAGTCTGTAAAAGTGGACTGGACTTTCAAGTTGGATAGCTGCTTATGTGGATTTAGCAAATGAAGTAACAGATGTGCAACTGCCTTATGAAGTTAATTGCAACAAATGGTTAGAGGGTCCCTCCCAGCCACGAAGGCGGTGGAGTAGCACAGGTGACAAAGACAGAGGAAGAGGCCTTGAAGAGTTCCCGCTCCTCCATCTCCTAGTCACATGCTCCTGATCAAGTCACAGGGCTTCTCCCACGCTTGTTTCCTCCCTTCTGTATCGGCCATGGAGGGGAAGAGGTGCTGTGTGCAGGGTAGAAGTATGCCCACGGGCTTCTGGGTCTGAACCCTGGCTGTCCCTCATTCTAGCTGTGACCCTGGGCAAGGCCATCAGTTTTCTTACTTGTTAAACAGTGATAATAACAGTGCCCACTTCCAGCAGTGTTGTCATACTAAGGACGACAGTGAGTGTGAAGGCCTATCACACAACGCAGGCTCAATGACTCAAGTTTCAGAGGGCCTTGGAATAAAAAAAAGAATGCACGTGTAGAGTGCTGACGCTATTGTTCTAATGAATTATTTAGTGCATCATAATATGAGCAATGGCAACATTTGTAAGTGAACAATGACATCTTCAGAACAGTGACCAATGCTCCTAATCAATATCACTCTCAAAGGCAGACAGAGAGGTGAGAACAAATGAAGATCCCACAAGTCATCACTGCAAAACTGTCTTTACTAACAAAACTCAAAGAACCTCACATACTTTTTGTGGACATCAACTTTTTTTCTTTCAAATTTTTTAAATGGTATTATGCATATACATATTTTTAAAATTTAGACACATTTTGGAGGACATAAACCAACCCAAGGAATCATTGTGAGATGTTCTGAGGTTGGAATTCAGACACTTAGAACTATTAAACTGACTTCTGTAGGTCCTCTGTTCTTTGAAGTACATGCCATTTCTCCTCTGCCTCAGGGACTGAGAGCTGGAACACCGTTCTGTAGTGGCCCATGTAACAGATGCTAGGGAGTTGGTGCACGTAGAGTCACAGAGCTACACATCTGTTAACGGCTAGTGGGTAAGGAGGAAGGCGTCAATCCAGCTAGCCGTAATAAAAACCCTGTAAATAAAATCTCCTCTATTTATTCCACAAGTATTTTATCTTCCCCTCAGTGTGTTAGTCAGAAACAAGCCTAACAAGTATTTTTCAGACACAGTGAGACGCCCAGATAACTAGGAGTCACCTTTGCTGTTTCTGGTCTGGAGACATGTGGCCAGAATCAGAGCTTCAACGAGTTGCCTCCCTCTTGCTGAGACAGGCTGTATGGGGGGCCTCAGGGTGATTCCCAGGCAGGAACCCTGGCTTCCCCTGAGAAATGAGACAGCTTGGGCACAGCTTTCAGCCGAAGCCTTGAAGGCTGCTGTGGGTGAGGCAGGCAGGACCGCACTGTATGCTCTGTCCTGCGTGGGATGGATGAGGTGCGTGGGGAGGAGGGAGCGGGGCTGGTATCACGTGAGCTCTCCTGCCAAAGAGCCCTTCAGCTCACTCATGACACCATATCCTGCCTTCAGGTAACAGCACTGGCTGCCTGAGAAGCACATCAGCAGGCCCAGAAGTTAATTAGACTATAACCAGGAGGATTTACACCCACAGAAGTCGTCAACCTAAAAGAAAATAGTCATGGCTTAGAAACAAGAGTGTCTGCAAAGAAGAGATTCATGAGGTATCACTTAGAAACCGAAGGTCACATGTTAGGGTGTCAGCCCCAGAAATAAGGCTCAGAAACATCCTAAGAACTGCCTGCATGAAGGATATTTGTCTTCCACGTTGATGTTCTTCTTTTTCCTTTATGAAAGAAGTGGAAACTAGGGCCAACAAATGTCTAGACTGTCCCTTGTAGACAAGGACCAGACCATCAGAGAGACCTATCTTGTCTTTCATAACCCAGTTCTTAGCTCACAAGATAAGAAGTACATAAAAGTCCTAAACCACTCATACCATGATGACAAAACTCTTTTCTAAAAATTTATGCTAATCCACATTAATGCCCATTTTTTTAACAAAAAATGTCATATAGAGAATACTATAATTTTCTTGGTTAGAACATTGTTTCCCATATATATAAATGCAAACTAGTACTTTTATGCTTCAGACATTTCATCAAATGTGAAACTTTATCATCTAAATAGTGGACAAAAAAATAATCCCAAATTTATACTTTGATAACTTACCAAATTCTGAAATAAGTTTAACTGCAGGGACATCAGAACAGCTGAATCTGTCTGCTTATCACATATCTGGAATTGCAGCCACTGAACTTATAACAATAAGCCATAATGTTGATAAAATTGAGGCGCAGCCTGTTTTGATAACATACACAGACTCTAGAATTGCCAACGCTTGGTCACTGCTACTTGATTTACATTGTGATCATGAAAGGGCTTCCCCTGGGTGTTGTCCTGATGTCCTGAAGCCCACTCCCTGGCACTGCTGCCGTGGACTGCGAGGAGCCTTCAGAACTTCATGCCAAGTGCCTGAAGCCTCTGCTGAGAGTGGGGAGCCCCAGCAGAGCTGCAGTGCACCCTCTGTGGCTTCTTAAAAGCACTAAGGTGAACACAAAACACAAAGAGGGAGCGTTCAACTACCTTGTGGAAAGGCTTACCCCTCCAACTATTCCAGTGAAACCCCCTCTTTTCTCTTGTGTTTCTTTTCAGTTTTTGGAGTGGTCTTTTCCTTTTGCTCATCTGAAAGGTTCCCACAGAAAATGCTGAAAAAGCATTATCACTAGGATATCACCCTAGAGCACCTTTCTGATACAGAAGAGACACCACCTGACTATTCTCTGTGTGTCGATATAGAAGATCCCCCACTTTAGACTCCATATACAGAGAAGAGGCCATGCCATGCTCTCAGGCACGGTCAGCTCCAGGTTCACGGAGAGAGAGGAGCTTTCCATTTAGAACAACTTACACCTGCAGACAACAAACACCAAGAAACATGCAACACTACACTGAACTGGATGTGAAGAATTCATATTTTACACCAGTGAGGGGAATACTGTCACAAAACCCTGATGGGATGGTTTCTGTCACTCATGCTCTAACTTGAGGGTCTTTGCAACACAAGCGGGTCTGTGACGGTGTCTGCTTCTCCTTTTTTTCTCCCTCTTTCAGGATTCACAGTTGGTTCTGTGTCACGCACTAAGCAATCTGGTGGCTTTTGGTCCAAACAGGTCTCTTAGCAGTGTTCTTGCACCTTTATATCCCTCTGTGAAGAACCAAGTTCAAATGCTGGAAACCATGATGTCTCTGGAATGAGGACGTCAGAGAGAAAGTGAACCGCGCCAGCCATGCCTGCAATGTAAAATGTGGATCCTGTTACGACAGAGCAGGAACGGCATGTCCGACACACTGTGGTCTTTAATGATTTCTTTTACCGGCTATAAGCATGTGGAAACAGTGTTCAGGACTTTAAAGATGACTTTATAAAAAAAAGAAATAAATCCTTATATTAGCACCCAGCAGGTAATAATACCAGTTTTCTTACGATCTTATTTTTAAAAAATTGGTTTCTGGGCTTTAATCTTGTATCTTGAAACTTTAAGATGATCTTACAGAATCACTACCAAAATTTATGGGTGCTGCTATTGTGATATTTCAACGTACAAAACTTCCTCTCTCAGAGCCTTTATAGTCTTATTCCAAACAAAAAGTTGCATTATATCTTCTTTAGGTTTTAAGAATGTTATTTTAAAACAAACTTTATTTGCTTTGGTCAAAATCCCACCCCAAATCACTGCAGGAACCAAGCACTGGGCTTTAAAGGGACATCTAGGAGCTCGTGCAGGTGGGGTGAGAGAGGCCACCAGCCACTCCAGCCTCCAGGACGCTAACTCCCGCTTCGATAAGCATAATTCCTCCCCTTTTGAGTTTCTGTTGTTTATAGTTTTTCTTTTGATGTAAAATTTACATACAATGACACACACAGGTCTTTGGTGTACTTCTTTGAGTTCTGACAAATGTACACCCTGTATAAACCACACCCTGTCAAGCAAAGGACTACTTCCATCACCTCCCCTAGGAGGTCCCTATGGGTCCCTCTCCAGTCTGCCCTGCCATCATCCCCACCACAGACTAGTACTGCCTGTGTCAGAACGTCATAGGAATGGAATCACACAGTCCATAGCCTATTGTATCCAGCTTCTTCCCTCAATGCTTTTGCAACATTCGTGTTTTGTGTGTGTCAGTAGCTGTTTTCCTACATTTGGGTTGCTCCCGGCCTTCCCTATAAGTTTTTGTTTGAAGAAAGGGTTCCAGCAGCTTATTTAAGAAATACGAAAACCACTGACCAATTAGAACCCATTAGAGATAGGAGTGACCCTATACCCTCGAGGGGGACCCTAGAGCAGGCCATGCTGAAATGAAATGAAATGGTGGGGTGGGGCAGCAGGTCCACCTGGCTGGAGCACTTGGGAGGAGAGAGATCTTGCAGGAGGGGTCACAGGCGTCAGCAACCCTGCCCACCTAGTGGCCTCCACACGGGCACTTAGTACAGCTACTCTCCACCACGCGACAAGAATCCACTTAGTGCCTACTAACAGCCCCTGTGAGGCACAGGAGGGCAGAGGAATCTAATGACTTCCTAGCCTTTAGGTAGCTGGACATTCAAAGATTTTGACCTGATGGGGCTTTGAAGTTGCCATTATAAACTTGAATTTTTGAATGAACTCCATTTAGAGTTCAGGTATTAACTCATATCTGATGCAAACACACTGCATTTTTATGATATAAAAGACTAAAATTTTTATTCTGAGAAATATTTTTTCATTATGATTTCTTTGAATATTAGAAAGATCTTGTTCTGCAAAAGATAATGACAAATGCTCTATTTTCTGCTTATACTTCTACTATGTGATTAAAAAATAAATTAAGAAATAAAACAGGGCATATCACTACAGACAATTCAGACATCAAAAGGGTAATAAGGCAATACTACCACAGCTATACACACATAAATTTGACACCATAGGTGAAATGGACCAATATCTCAAAAATACAAACTACAAAACTCACCGAATATGAAACAGATAACTTGAACAGCCCTATAAATTATTAAACAAATTAAATTTATAAGTTTAAAACTCCCAAAAAAGAAACTTCTAGGGCCAGAAGCTTTCACTGGAGAATTCTACACAGCATTTAAATTGGAACTAACACCAATTAACGCACAGTCTGTTACAGAAAACAGAAGAGGAGAGGATACCTCTCAATACAGTTTATTAGGTCAGTATTACCCTGACACCAAAACCAACGACAGTACAAAAAAGGAAAACTACAGGCCAGTATTCCTCATGAATACAAATGCAAAAATCCTCAACAAAACATTAGTAAATAAAATTCTATAACATATAAAAAGAACTGTATACCATGACCAAGTGAGATTTATTCTAGAGATGCAACACTGGCTTAATATTTGAAAATCAACCAATGTAATCCACAATATTAATAGACTAGAGAAGGAAAAAAATCACATGATCTTATCAACTGAGGCAGAAAAAGCATTTGACTAAATTCAACACCTATCTATTATTTGATTAAACAATCAATTTTTTAAACAAAAAATATTCAATCTTAAGTTTATTTTGGAATTAGTAATAAGATATGGCTCTAAAGTAATTAAAAGTTATCATCAATTTATCCTCACATCATTTAATCTTTGCCCTTTGATTTTTGTGGCTCATGTTACAAATTATCCAGTTCATACACACACACACACACACACACACACACACACACACACACACACAATGTAAAAAATACATGAGTCTCTTTCCAGGACTTCTATTTTGTTTTCCTGAATTATATTCTATAGATTGTGCCTGCAGCAGACTGTTAATGTATTTGCTGTCATTGCTCTTGTTTTTCAGAACTTTCTTCAATATTCTCATTTTTTTAACTACTAATATTTCTAATTACTAATATTAGTTATTCATACTTCTTTCTATAACTTAAATAATTAAGTATATTTAAATAAATAACTAGGTTTCCTGTGAATAGATCAATATTATAGACACAATGTTACTGATGAAATGCAGAGAGTAAACTCACTATTTCTTCCATTTACTGAGTAGCAAACATTCTATGTCCTATCTGCATATATACTTCACAGAAGATCTAAAACACTTGGAAGACATTCACAAGAGCACAAAATAGGTAAGGTAAAGACAAAATACAATTTTCAGCAGTAAACGACTTTGCTCACCGTTATTTGAGAGCTGTGGAGTCAGGACTCCAGGAAGAGTGAAGGGAATAGTGCTAGTCCCAAGAGGCACGAGCCCAGAGACACTCTCTCAGATACTTACACTGGACTTGTCTCCTCACTCTTACCTTCAAAGAGAGAATAGGGTCTGTCAGGAACGCGACACCCGTGTGCTCCATATTCTAGACACCACTCTGCAAACTAAGAAGAAAGGTATTTCTTTTTAAGAGTGGAGATTTCACTTGGTGAAAAGGCAACAAATAAGACACTGCATAGACGTCACCAAGAATCAGAAAAAGAAGATTTTGGGCAGTAGAGAAGTTAGGAGCACGGGCTCTGGGCTGGACTCCAGACACCCGTTCTCAGATGGGAGAAACCTGGCAAGTTATATCATTTCTCTATGCCTCCTTCCTCACCTATAAGGTGGTATCTACCTCAGGAGGTTGTAGGGAAGAATGAAGTAGAAAACTAACAACAACTTTTTGTCTTTTCTTTTTTTTTCTTTTTTGTGAGGAAGATCAGCCCTGAGCTAACATCCATGCTAATCCTCCTCTTTTTGCTGAGGAAGACAGGCTCTGAGCTAACATCTATTGCCAATCCTCCTCCATTTTTTTCCCCAAAGCCCCAATAGATAGTTGTATGGCATAGCTGCACATCCTTCTAGTTGCTGTATGTGGGACGCGGCCTCAGCATGGCCAGAGAAGTGGTGCGTCAGTGCGCGCCCAGATCGCCAGTAGTGGAGCGCGTGCACTTAACTGCTAAGCCACGGGGCCGGATCCCTTCTGTTTTTTCTAGGCACCTGCCTCCTGCCTTTTCAGGTGATCCTTCCTGAAGCAACCTGAAATGCTTGCTCTACCCAGATTAAAAACCCTGGCTCTGAAACTGCTTCAGAACTTCAGAATCATCTGCTGGCTCCCCCTGGCTTGTTCTCTGGCCTCAGCAGGAAACCACTCAGCTTCACCCGGTCCCAGCCACTCTTAGCGCCATTCTGGGGAACGCAACCTGCACTGGTCACTTTTGCTCTCTCCCCACAGCTCCCTGTCCACTCCACGGCCTGAAGCACTGCGGCCAGACCACCTTCCTCATCTTGAAAACTCCCGCCACCTCAGTGCTCTCAGCAGTTTCCTTTGAGCTCCCTGATCTGTCCTTCTTAAGCCTCTTCAATGGGTTTTTTATATCATTATAATAAAATTCTCTTTTTTGCTTAAGCTAATTTAATCTTTGTCATTTGTATACAAAGAATCATCAGTAATAAACAGAAGGAATATCAAGTCCAGCACACATAAAATAAAACTTATTCTGTTTTCTACCCTCTAAATCTGCTCACTCTCCTAGCGTATTAGATGTACCATCTATCTCGTTTTCTTAGTCAGACAACAGGGAGACATTCAGGTATTTCCATCTTCTCCACAGTGAAAAAACTCCACTAAATACTGTGCGCTCAACATCCTAAGAGTTTCCAAATCTCTCCTCTTTACTATCACAGCCAATGCTTTGGTTCATAACTCAACATTTCTTGCATTAATTACTAAACAATTTGAAGAAACCTAACCTCGCTCTCATTCTTTCCCGTGACCCAGCACTCTTTCTAAGGAGGAGTCTGACCATGGCTTACACACCCTTCCAGATCAGCACTCACACGGGCTGGTTATGAGAACAACCGGTGAAGGCTGGCCCCTAACTGACGTGGTCTGGGGTGGTTCCAAGCATCTTTGAAAGTTCTGTGGTTCTAAGGTGTAACCAGGTTGACAACTCCAGGTTGAATAACCTCCTTTGGCCTCCGCCCACCTGTCTGACTTTACCTTTTGCCCTCTGCACTCCCTCAACACTGAGGTGTGCACACATTCAGGGTCACGGAGCTGTTCCATGCCTCTGGAGCTGTGCAGGAACTATCCTCCTATCAGGAATGTCCTCCTCTCCCCAGGCTACCCCTTCCTGTCCACCTGAAAAACTCTTCATCTTTAAAAAACTAGCTGTGTCTCACCCTCCAAAAGTCTTTCCCAATTCCCCATACTTACTTAACCATCTACTCTGATAATTATCAAATTGGGCTGTTCCTAACCTCTCTGACCATCTCCTGCTCTGCTTCGGCCACATGAACCTCATACAGTCTGGATGGGTACCTCATACCTCCAGGCCTTGAGACAAGCAGTTTCCTCTCCTTTTAACAGTTTTATCCATCCCTATTTGCTAAATTTCTAGTTATCCTTTAGGTCTTGGCCTGGATGTCACCCTGACCCCGCAGAAACATTCTGATTAGGCACTCTTGACGTGCCCCACAGCATCCGCATGTGCCTCTTTATGAGTCTAGGTACTACAGCAGGCATGTGTATGTGTCTCAGGGTTCTACTCCCTGAGACAGGGAAAGAGTTTATTCTATTTGGTTGAGAAAAGGTTTCATAACAGTAACAGATGTTCACTGTCTAAAAAATATAAAGAATAAGTCGTCAATAATGCCTCCATTATCAAGAGACATTGTAAACATTTTGGTGTATTTTCTTCCAATCTTTTCTCTGTGTCTGTATAACTATATTTTGTGAAATGTGTATGGTAATAAAAACACTAGCAAACATTTACTGAGTCTTGCTCTGTGCTATTCATTTTCACACATTCAATGCACATTTATTAAGTTTCTACTTGGTGCTGGGCACTGGTGTAGGGTAGTGACCTAGACAAATAAGATCATGGAGCTTACATCCTACTGATGCAACATGCTCAAGAATCAAGCAGAAATAAAAAATGAATGACCGAGTGATTCTTTCACTTGGGAAATTTCAGAGGGCCTCTCTAAGTACATCACATAAGCTGATATTAGAATGGCAAGGAGTCTCCATATAAATTTCAGAGGAAGGGCATTCTTGATGGAGGAAAACAGCTAATAAAAGGTTCAAAGGGGAATTTCAGGGTGACACCAGCATCATGGTAGAGTTAGCTCTCCCCTTAGACTCTCCTCCCTAAGATACAACAAAAAGGACATTCATATGCCAACAGAGGACATTTACACAACACAAAAGACATCTGAGAGACCCCATGCAGCCTTACATCTGAAGGTGGAGGTGCTGGACCCTCCAGAGGAAGTGGAAGGAAGTAAGGAGAGCTCCTCTCCCTCCCAGACAGCAACCCTGGGACGACGTGTGGCTCTGCAAGAAGAGAGGAGAGGGGCAGCCCTCCATGGGAACACTGTTGCTCTCCAAGTTCCCTCACAGCCTGGGGGAAAGCCCCACACAGAGGTGAGTGAACTACCGCAGGGATGTCTTCAGCCAGTCAGCACCCCAGGAGAGCAGATAGCGAAGGAAGAGCAAGAAGCCCCCAGGATCGGGCAGGTGAAAGAAGGTGCCCGTCCCCCTGCCCGACACTCCAGCTCAGCTGGTTGGCCAGAGCACCCGCACATTCCTTAGAAAACCAGCAGCTACAGAGACCAGAGATCACAGCGGACTCAGAATACACAGCTCCTGACCCCCACCCAGTGGTGGCAGGTGGAAGCTGCGACCAGGTACTATCACTATGCAGGGGCACAAATCCATGCCGTCAAACAGTATGAAAAAATATATTAAATCTCCAGACCAGAAGGAAAACGACAAGCACCCAGAAATCAATCCTGAAGGCACAGAAATTTATAATCTAAACAACAGAGAATTCAAACTAGCTATCATAAAAAAGCTCAACAAGTTACAAGAAAATACAGATAAACACTTCGATAAAATCAGGAACTTCTTCACAAAAGAGATTGAAACTATAAAGAAAAACCAATTAGAAAAGTTGAAGATGAAAAACACAATGGAGGAGATAAAAAATCTTGAGTCTTATAATAACAGAACTGACAATATGGAAGACAGAATTAGCAATCTGGAGGATAGAAATACAGAAATGCTCCAGATGGAGGCAGAGAGAGAACTAAGACTAAAAAGAAATGAAGAAATTCTCTGAGAAATATCCGACTCAATTAGGAAATGCAACATAAGGATTATGGGTATTCCGGAGGGTGAAGAGCGGGAAAAAGGAGCAGAGAGCATGTCCAAAGAAATAACAGCTGAGAACTTCAAAAATCTGGAGAATGAGCTGGAAATACAAGTGAATGAAACCAACAGATCTCCTAACTATATCAACGTAAAAAGATCTTCTCCAAGGCATATAGTAGTAAAGCTGACAAAGGTCAATGACGAAGAAAAAATATTAAGGGCAGCAAGGAAGAAGAAAGTAACAACAAAGGCTTATCAGGCTTTCAGCAGATTTCTCAGTAGAAACCATATAGGCTAGGAGAGAGTGGAATGATATATTAAAAATTCTGAAAGACAAAAACTTTCAGCCAAGAATACTCTATTTAGAGAATATATTCTTCAGATATAATGGAGAAATAGAAACTTCCCCAGATAAACAAAAGCTAAAGGAGTTCATCACCACAAGGCCCCCACTACAAGAAATGCTGAAGAAGGCCCTCATATTTTGGGAAAAAAAAAAAAAAAGAAAGGGGATACAAAGTCTTGAGAAAGGAGAAAAACCGGTAGACAAGATCAGAAAAATTGCAGCTCTCTACCACAATAGGTTAGCAAACAATTATAACATCAAAGATTAAGGGAAGGAAAACACAAAAAATAAATATAACCTCATCACTTTAAACACAAACTCACAATACAAGATGGAATAAATTGTGACAATAATAACTTGGAAGAGGAAAAGGAAAGGGATACAATTGACTTAGTCTAAGGAAATAAGAGGCCATCAGAAAATGGACTATCACATCAATGAGATGTTTTATACAAACCTCATGGTAACCACTAAACAAATAATCTGAACAGAGACACAAATGATAAATAAAGAGAAATCTAAGAAAACCATCGTACAGAAGTATCAAACTGAATTGGTAGTCCAAAACACGGGACAAGAAACAAAGGAAATGCAGAAGAACTGGAAAATGAGCAATAAAATGGCAGCATTAAGCCCTCAATATATCAACAATCACTGTAAATGTAAATGGATTGAATTTTCCAATCAAAAGACAAAGAGTGGATGGATTAAAAAGAGTGGCTGGATGGCGGGATGGATTAAAAAACAAGACCCAACGAACTGCTGCCTCCAGGAAGCACATCTCAGCTCTAAACACAAACACAGGCTCAGAGTGAAGGATGGAAGATGATACTCCAAGCTAATGGCAAACAAAAGAAAGCAGGTGTTGCCATACTTATATCAAAGTAGACTTCAAGATAAAACAGGTAATGAGAGACAAAGAGGGGCAATATATAATGATAAAAGGGATGCTCCACCAAGACGACATATCACTTATAAATATACACGCACTCAACACAGGAGCACCAAAGCAACCATTAACAAACCTAAAAGGCGATATTAACAACAACACAATAATAGTAGGGGACCTTAATACCCCACTTACATCAATGGATAGATCATCCAGACAGAAAGTCAACAAGGAAATAGTGGACTTAAATGGAAAAACTAGACCAGATGGACATAATAGATGTATACAGAGCACTCCATCCAAACACAGCAGAATACATGTCTTCTCAAGCGCACATGGAACATTCTCAAGGACAAACCATATGTTGGGAAACAAAGCAAGCCTCAACAAATTTAAGAAGACTGAAATCGGGCCGGCCCCGTGGCTTAGCGGTTAAGTGCGTGCGCTCTGCTGCTGGCAGCCCGGGTTCGGATCCTGGGCGCGCACCGACGCACCGCTGCTGAGGCCGCGTCCCACATGCAGCAACTAGAAGGATGTG